AACCTCAAAATTAAACGTGCTTACAGGTTGCAGCAGGCGGTGAGGGAAGCATTTATTGATATGAACCCAAAGGCTAAAGCTGTTTATCAAGAACGTATCAAAATTAGAGTTTAGGCACGTGTGATTTGGCATTCTGGACGAGCGACATGTTGGCTACTGCTGGTAACGCTCATCTTGAAGTTTGAATTTTGTCCATACAAACGCAAGATATGTTGAACTTGAACGCATAGGTAAAATACTTTCCTTCCGTTTTTCAAAGGTCAAAGAACAGGACTTGTTTTTCCAGTTTTCTCAATAGACTTTTCCTGAAAGAGACCCTGTAGAATTCTCATTTAATTGGGTATTGTTTTTCTTACCAAATTATGAACGACGAATTGTCACATGCACGATAGAGATTGAGAGTTCACTTTCAGTGTGACTTTCATGGTAGCTAAATTTGGCTTTCTTAAATTATGATTAGCGATAAATCTGAAAAGATTATGTCAAGACTGATTCTATAATTATTTTTCAGGTTCTGAAGATGCGTGTACATGAATATTCACTTTACAGTTCACACATACGTGAAGGAATAAACTTCATCTGAAGATAGCCAACTGGGGGATATCATGATTTTTGATGAGTCAAAAATCAACCAATTCAATGTTGGTGATCTACTACGAACTATCCCTGATTTTGCCCTGGGCTGCTACGTCTTTTGAATTATCAAGACAAAAGTTAGCTCTAGTATTTTCGTCTACAAAGAAAGTCAAATCAAAACTAAATTTGATCATGACAATGATGTTATTATGGTTGTGATTTTGTGGATTATTATATTGATCACCAAATTTTAAATCACTTTTAATCCAAACGAAACCTAATTTAGTACTTTCAAAATTTTGACGGCTACCCAATCTATACCAAACTTGTACTAAACTCGGGCACGGAATCTTGTTTTGTTCCTTTTTGGGCAAATCTTAATAGACGGGCACACGTACTCATGTGTATATCCATCGATCATCACCGCCCAATTCAGTACTTAAATTCGTATAGACACAAATAATTGTTAATATATTATTTGTATAATTATGTATTTTATTGAATATAATATATACGTGAAAATTAAGGTGTTTGAAGTAATTTATGCATATCATATTAATCCTCGTATCAATGTAGCAATCCAGTGTAGGGCCTTATTTATGTTTCCAAACTCATAGTTTAATAAATCAAACTCATTAGGTATGGAAAATTCAGTTTTAGTTATGGGGTATATATCGTTATTGACTTAGTTTGTTTTGACTAGGGCGTTTAATTAAGGACGTGGTTTTTGAATATTAAAGCTTTTTCCCCATAACTGAAAAACAAAGTCCCTTTGACCAAGTTTTAAGTACGGTAATAAGAAGAGTCAGACTTCGCCAATCAAATTCAACCGTTTGAGGTTATCTTTGTAACCAGAAAAATACAGATTGAAAACTTCATGATTCATGACAAAAACTGCATGTCTATGACCAGAGTTGTGTTATCCAAATTTTGTCCCGGCCGGCAAAGATGGCCCTCCAAATTTCAGATAATATTTAATTTATTAAATTACTTATCATCCTTTACTTCTACGTTTAGATTTATGACATAAGGGAAGAAAATCTATTATGAAACAAAAAATAGTATATAGTTTGATTGGTAAGGAACTAATTAAAAATACATCTAAATTTATAAATTGATGTGACATGAAACAGTTGAAATTTTAAAGAGTGAAACTACAAAATTAATTAAGATATCTAATTTAAGAATTATGTTACATTAATATACATAAACTTGTAAAAGGAAATTGTATTTATAGTATTAATTAGTTATATATATTACTCGATGAAGACTTGGTTGCGTGAGGCACGACATGACACAAGTACTAAATAAAGAAGCATTGTCAAAATATTTAGGTATGCCTATTGGGCGGGGTTATTTGACTGGCTTGCCTTGAATTTTTTTTTTTTTTTTTTTTTTTTTTTTTTTAGAGTTAATTGGAGTGTTTGAACCAATTTACTACAATTTGACTAATTCTTATAGGAATTGTCATGACCCCCCAAGGACAATAATGGGCGAAAGGTTGGAACCATGAACAGTCCCTTGGCTCGTCCTTACAGCTAACCGATGGGTGGGGCTTGCTTTAATTTTCTGTTTTTAAACTATAATATTCAATTAGCTACCATAATTAACTCCATTCTCTTCATAATCTAGACTTGAAATATGATTTGGATAACATTTTACATTTATAAGGACTAATCACATTATTAATTATGATAATGTGTGACACAAAACCTTTGACTCTGGGTGAAAAAAATTCAATGAAAAGAACCTGGAAAGTGGAAATTATAATTGCACATTCTAGATTCTTCTTAATTAAAACGATTTAATTTATAAATAAACTATACATATAAATTTTTATTTTAAATTTACAACAAAAGCGTTTTTCCTATATCAATCCTATTTGGATATATGTTATTTTTTTTCTTTTTCTTTTATTGATAGGGTGTCCAAATTAATTTGCACGTACCTCAATTAATCTTTAGTTAGCCTGAAGTTAATGATCGATTAAATCTCAAGTAACAATTTTTACTAGCAATTAAAGCGAACGAACTCAAAACTCTTAGAATTATACCTAAAAGTCCATATTTGATCACTCAATTACTTATGAGTTGTATTAAAATGGATATATGTTGCAACCACGAGCAGGAATGCCGTGTTGTTTGCGTATAAACTTTAAAAAATGAAAATGAAAAGATATGATGAGGAGCTTCCACTCAATAATAATATATGCTTTAATGGATATACGATGGTAGTCAAATATTATAGAGCAAATTGGTACAATAGTCTACTAGTTTATGGTAATTAACTCATCAATTATGTAAGCCTACTTGCATCATTAATTATATTTTGGCCTATTAATCACGATATCAGATAATTCTTCACCTTATATATCCAAATCCAATATTATCTCCATATTCAAAGTTCAAACGCATACCAACTTGTGGAGGCTATGGCTCCTTGGTTGCCAATTGGGAATACTACTTTAGTATATCAAAAAAGTTAAACAGTAATATACCCAAAAACTCACAATATTATTCAATTTTATTCAACATTTTTTAAACCCCCTAAATTTGTTAATTCAATTAAATATCCCTAAATATTTTTAATGTTTTTGTTACAGCAACTCCGGCCACCCTCCGGCGGTAGTGGCCGGCTGTCCGTATTTGACATTGGGTTGGGGGTGTTTTTGTTAACTTTTAAGATTTTATTATAGGGGGTGTTTTGTAAAGAAACAAATATAGGGGGTATTTTATTAATTTATAAATCGTACATCGTAATACCCACCCAATTCAACTTTTTTTTTTACTTTTTTCAAAAAACTTTTCCCAAAAACACCCAATTGTGAACCAAACGGAGCCTATATGTTTACCATAAATATAAAGCGTTGGACGGCCTCATTATATCTTAATCATTGACTACATATTTGTAATATTTTTTATCTGGTTAGTATACTCGGAAAATAATAATAAAACTCACTAAATATATATAAGAAAATATACATATAGATGACGATAAAATAATGGACCCATAACTAATTTTTCTTTAAATACAAATCTTTATAAAATATAATAAAGTCACAAAACATCAACTTGACAGTGTTGCCTAACCTTTTCGCTGCGTGACATTTCAAGCAACTGTATCTCACCTATTATCTGCAAAAACATTGAAAACAACGAGGTGAACATTAATTGCTTAGTAAGTAAACCCGCTATGCTACCCTTTTCTCTCCGTTGCTTAATTTTTGAATATCTTTCCTTATATCACACTTCTCTATTTTTCTTTGTTCTTTCTCTATTCTTTATATGTTTCTCTCTATTCTTTCTCTGTTCTAATTTCCCACTACTAAAGATAATGGGCATGGTATTATGCATATATATGATGCAAATGCACAAATGCATAGAATGTGCATTTTCTTTTTTGTTTTTTTCTTATTCTGTTTTATATTTCTTATTCTGTTTTCTGTTTCTTTTTCTGTATTTCTTTCTTTCTATTATTTCTTTTTTTTTTTTTTTTTATTCTTTATTGCCGATCGGACTCGGTTGAGGCATGAATTTAGAACCCTGGCCGTGTGAGTATATTCTCTAATTTTGGGTACAGTCTTCATCCACATGCACTTCTAACGGACTGTATAATTTTTTTTTTTAAATTCTGAGACCGCTCACTAAAGGCGGCGTGCATGCGAGAGGCTATGTCACTCACATGTTTCCCATTACAACAATCTTCTCTGCTTTTATCTTTTTACACTTCTTTAAATAAAAATTCAGATTTGAATTTCTTTAATATTCTCATTTTTTTCTATTTACTCTTTAATGTGGTATAAGAACATAAATAAAACTACATACTTCGATGTGGCCGTTACAATATTAGTAATTATAGTTAGAACTTAATTAAGAAGGTAATTAAGTTGATTATATCTTTTACTCGTTGACTTTCTATCTCGAACTACTGAGACATTTTGTTCATATAAAAAAAAAAAAAAAAAAAAAAAAAAAGAATTGAATGAGTTTAAGGTTAAATGCGTTAACCCCATTTGGTATCAATTAGCATTCAAGAATAAATGGGCGCAGCCCGGGCCCTCAAAAAGTCAGGTTGCCAGCTACCATGTATTATGGATTTCATGCAAATTAATGTTGCATGAATATGAACATGTCAATAACACGCTTCCTTCCTCCCCAGTCGATTACAGCCTGCTTCACCCCCTCAAGTCAGCACACACAGAAAAGTCCATTATTATTACTCTTCAAAAGAAATTTGGAATATGGTTTACCAAAAAATTATTCGTAACAGATTCAAATTTAAAACAACAAATAGAGAATGATTTACTGCGTAAAATAATATTTTTTTTCCCTTAACAAACCCCATGATTCATTCCCTCTTACCTACGTTTCTTTTCTATATAAAGCAACGCGGTTAGCACTCATTTCCTTCACAAACCTCATAAAACTCCGAGCTCTGTATCACTATCTATTACACACGTTAGCCTTAATACACAACATCAAAACTAAGTCATTCATGGCTCCTCCAACTCTTTTAACGCTTTCAACTGTGCTCCTTTTTCTCTCCCCGACCATTTTTGCTTACAGTACAAATGACGTAAAATCATGGTGCAGCAAAACACCAAACCCTCAGCCATGTGAATACTTTTTGTCTCATAACCCTGATCACAGTCCTATCCATAATGAGTCCGATTTTTTCAAAATTTCCATGAAACTTGCTTTAGAACGCGCCAAGAATGCTGAATCACACACGTACAATCTCGGCTCTAAGTGCCGAAACAAGCTTGAAAAGGTTGCGTGGGACGACTGTCTTAAGTTGTACGAGTTAACAACCCTCAAGCTCAACAAAACCATAGACCCAAGCACCAAGTGCACCCAAGATGATCAACAAACATGGCTCAGCACGGCTCTAACCAACTTAGAGACATGCCGAGCCGGTTTCATTGAACTTGGGGTGGCCGATTATCTTTTACCCTTGATGTCAAATAATGTGTCAAAGTTAATTAGTAACACCTTGTTTCTCAACAAAGTTCCATACAGTCAGCCTGGCTACAAAAATGGGTTCCCAAAATGGGTCAAGCCCGGTGACCGGAAGCTATTGCAGACTACATCAACGGCTTCTCAGGCAAATATCGTGGTGGCCAACGATGGTTCTGGGAACTATAAGACGATAAATGAGGCCATAACCGCAGCTTCATCCCGTTCAGGTAGTGGGAGATATGTGATTTACATAAAGGCAGGAACATATAACGAGAACATAGAGGTTGGAAGCAAATTGACAAATATTATGTTCGTGGGAGATGGCATTGGCAAGACTATCATTACCGGGAGCAAAAGTGTTGGAGGAGGAGCTTCGACCTTCAATTCAGCAACTGTTGGTGAGTCATCAACTTATATCTGCTAAATATATAAGGTTAAGTTTTTGTGTCCACTTAAAAGTATGTCACCACACAGATAAAATAAACTCAAGCTCAAAATTACTCGACCAACGCATCATTGCGAAAATTCAATGAATACTTGTCAAATGAGTTTTCTGACTGATTCTGAGGTCGATCAAATTAATTATTTTTGTAAATTTCCATGTCGAGTTGATATTGGTAATTTGGTATATCGTAATATAAATAAGGAATTAAAATTTAATTTAATTGTACTAATAAATCTGACATAAGCCGTTACGTTCATATATTAAGTTAATCCATAGTGATATATATATAGTATGAATGCTGAAAAGATTTTGAAAATATATATACATTTTTTTTGTGGAAATCAATCTTCATATTAATAATATTTTTAAGTGACCAGGTAACAGTACTAGTATAGAAAGAGAAGAATATAGAGTATAGACCATAGATTTGAGGACTTTAATAAGGGAGACGTGTTGATTTAGTTTTGCATGTTAATTAAAAACTTAATACATATCAAATTCTATATAGACATAGATTTCGATGGTCCCGGGCTTGAACAATTGTGGTGCCTGATATAATTGCTTTGACAACAAGAACGAACAATAATTACTCAGCTGCGACAAGTCTTATGTATGTATGGAAAGGTCGTGGCCATTAAAGAAGTCTCATACTCTGATTTGACTTTTTGAAACTAATTTAATATGTAACAAAGATTGATATAATATAATATATGCTTATGCTTATAATCAAATCATTAATTTCTATTGCTAGAAATCTAGAGTTTTCCAAAAGATAAACGGTAAAGTTGGTGAAGTCTGGATTTTGATAGGGATGCTAATAGGGATTACGCACACCTTGGCAGGGATCCATGAGTACCCCTGGAATGAACCTTCTCACCGAAAAGGGCTAGCCTGCTGGGGACTATTAAGAACATGAAAACCGGCCAATTCACCCTATTTTCAGTAAAGGCCACCAACCCCTGTATTTAAATACTCTGCATAATACAGTGTGAAAAGCAAAACTCCGATCCCATTCTGTCCAACCCTTTGGATGAATAATACCACCAGGTCCGTCTTTATGAAATTGTCCTGGAGTATTTTTTCCTGGCCTGCCTAAGTAATTCGTGAACAAATGTTGGACGGCATAAATTCATGAGATGGCCTAACACGCGATCCTTGAATTGAAATTCCTGTGTTTCATTGGGATCGTCTCTTCCTTGTACTGTTATCATAGTTGCTTGGTGATCAATTGGTCTTCTTATAGATGTCGCAGTTTTGAAACACTGCTATGCACTCACCAAATATGAAATCAATGTGCCATGTATTTGACATCACAGATACATTTGTCTTAAAGAAGCACATAGAGTGTATCTTGGTGACCTATAAAATTGCAACGATAAAAAACTGAGAGGTCTGAGCTGACTCGTAAAGCCTGCTTGGTGTTTGGGGGACAGCCTTGTCTGAATGTCATGTCCCTTGCCCAAAAACCCATCCCCGATACACCTGCCCATGACCAGACCCAATTAATAAAATCGAACTGCATAAACTGAATGGATTTTCGCTAAGTCAATGTATTCTTACCAAATGTGGCTGAGGTTGAGGTGGTAGAACCATCTGGACATTTCGGCTGCCAGTAACAATGGTTCTACCAATGCCATCGCCAACAAATTATGTTCTTCATGTGATGTTTGGATATCCACCTTTTCATCATCACCGGATTTTACGTGGATTATTACTCTTTGGGGTCGCCTATTACCCATTCTGCGAGTGCAGCCAATGCTTCATTATTGTTCTGTGTGTGCCAGAGCCTCTTGTGCAACACAAGTCTGCCTGGAAGTTGCTGGACCCATGATGCTAAAATTCCAACTTTTGATTGAATCTTGCATTAACTGGGGCTGGTGGTCCTAAAAAATCAGCAAGTCATAAGAAATTAAAGCTTTTGCTTTATAGTCTACTTATAGTTTTCATGGGTGCGTTTGATTCATTTTTGGATAAAATTTGAAAATAATATTGAGTAGTTGAATGGAGTATTACGAAGTAAAATTTAAAAATTTATAAAAAAACCCTAGGTTTACTAATTTAATTAAACACCCTAACATATAAAATGACAAAAACACCCCCACCACCTGCAGTGCCAGACTCCGGCCACCACTGACGGCCAAATCGTGAACTATCGGTCAATGCCTCGGGTGTAGGTCGTTGTACAGATTCTAGCTGCCACGGACGTGGTTATCAGAACCTGGCAAGTATGGGTTTTGGGGGTGTTTTTTGTTAATTTTTAAACTTTTTTTGGGGTGTTATTATGAAATTAATAAGATTAAGGGGTCTAAAAATAATTAAAAATAATAGTAATATTTTTAAATAATGTGCCCAGCAATATTTGGAGAATGGATTAGGAATATATATTAACCAACGCACCCATATTAGTTACTTGTACCAGAAAGAATAGTTCAGGAGACAATTTAATTTTAACTTGAAAATGTTGACCATTTTCACTCCATCTAAGTTTAACTGGAGTCTAAAACACATAGAAATATTTACTAGAAGGAAATCAGAGCAAAATTTTTGTAGGCAAATAATTGTTGGGACCAAGTGAGCTTCTTGCCCCTTCTAACCTTCTTCCTATACAGTGCAAGGCTTCACTGAGAAACATAGTCAAATTATGAGTCTCTGCATGGGATTGAACATATCCCCTCTCTTCCAATCCATCCAAGCAAGTTCTGTGGTGCGCCAGCGCGCTGCTTAGCCACGTACGACATCTCAAGTGTGTGGTTCTTACCCGCAAGCAAAACACCGAGCCTGGACTCACACTCACCATAGAGCTTAGCACAATCATTAAAGCCTCGTTATGAAATTCAAATCTTGGTCCAACCTAATCCTTTGGTGTAACAGAAGCCCGCCCAGTTCCCGCGCTTGCAAGACCGTGGATCGGGCCATTTACCACCTCAATTCTTGAGTGCAAGAGGTGGTAGTAGCCATGGCTACAAGAAGAGAGGTAACAACAGAAGTAGACATTTTCGTGTAAAGAGTGACGATGACATGCAACAAGTTACTCATTTAACAGTTTGTTTTCATTTATACTGTGAAGAAGCAAACACAATTACACATGGACCGTCGTGAGCCATGCGTCTGCTTTGGAGGATCAAGTGTCACTTCGTTTTCGTGGGTATCATAAACGTAATTGAATTGTTAAATTTTTATAATTGGGATTAAGTGTTCTTTAGGCCTTTATTGTAAAGATCGAGTGATGATATCAAGCATTAACTTATCTCATAAATTGTTTGTTTTCTATTAATGTGAAGCCTTATGCGACACTGTTTTGACTTAAGCCGAGACTTCATCCTGATCATTGGTTGAAAATAGATCTGATGGCTGAGGACTTAAGTTGAGTCAAACCTATAAAAGCAGATGGCCCTTCAGTTCGAAGCAACGCGATTTTCCTCTCTATCTCTCTAAGTTAGAAGATTAGAGTTTTCTGTGAGTGTAAATCTACGGATAATATGTCTATTAAGTTGTTTTTTTAGTGGTGGTGGAACCTGGTGTAAAGTTCTTAGTTCGATTGTAGGTTTATCTTGTTATTCTAAAGCCTAGTTATCTTGGTTGAAATCTTGTAAAGGGAAGAGAGTTTGAGGTTGTAACCGTTCTTGATCATAATAGTAAGTGCATGAGCATCCATATTTTAGAGCTCAACGTGGCCTAACTTTTCAATATTGAACAAGTGAACCACGGTAATACTGTGTGTTGAATCTGTTTGGTTTACGTTGATTGTGTGTTATTGGTGATGTTTGCTTGATTTGAGTAAGTGTATTACAACATTTTCATTATGGAACGAGGTGAAGAAGCAAACACGATACACATGGACCGTAAATCAAGCCAATGTTCTGCTTTTGGACCATCACTTAAGCTTTCATGGGTGTCCATCACAAACGTAATTGAATCGTTAATTAATTAACGTAATACTGTAGTAATGAACACCAAAAAAAAAAGAAAATATAACCTCAAAATTAACGTGCTTAAGGTTGCAGCAGCGTGGGGAAGCATTTATTGATATGAACCCAAAGGCTAAAGCTGTTTATAGAACATGTCAAAATTAGAGTTTAGGCACGGTGATTTGCATTCTGGAGAGCGACATGTTGGCTACTGTTGGTAACGCTCATCTTGAAGTTTGAATTTTGTCCATACAAACAAGATATGTTTGAACTTGAACGCATAGGAAAATACTTCCTTTTCCGTTTCAAGGTCAAAGAACGGACTTGTTTTCCATTTTCTCAATAGACTTTTCTGAAAGAGCCCCTGTAGAATTCTCATTTAATTGGGTATTGTTTTCTTACCAAATTATGAACGACGAATTGTCACATGCACGATGAATTGAGAGTTCACTTTCAGTGTGACTTTCATGGTACTAAATTTGGCTTTCTTAAATAGATACGATAAATCTGAAAAGTTATTCAAGACTGATTCTATAATTATTTTTCAGGTCTGAAGATGGTGTACATGAATATTCACTTTACAGTTCACACATACGTGAAGGAATAACTTCATCTGAGATAGCCAACGGGATTCATGATTTTTTTGATGAGTCAAAAATCAACCAATTCAATGTTGGTGACTACTACGAACTATCCCTGATTTTGCCCTGGGCTGCGTCTTTTGATTATCGACAAAGTTAGCTCTAGTATTTTCGCTACAAAGAAAGTCAAATCAAAACTAAATTTGATCATGCAATGATGTTATTATGGTTGTGATTTTGTGGATTATTATATTGATCACCAAATTTTAAATCACTTTTAATCCAAACGAAACCTAATTTAGTACTTTCAAAATTTGACGGCTACCCAATCTATACCAAACTTGTACTAAACCGGCACGAAATCTTGTTTTGTTCCTTTTTGGGCAAATCTTAATAGACGGCACACGTATTCGTGTATTATCCATCGATCATCACCGCCAATTCACTACTTAAATTCGTATAGACACAAATAATTGTTAATATATATTTATATAATTATGTATTTTATGAATATATATATACGTGAAAATTAAGTGTTTGAATATTTATGCATATCATATTAATCCCTATCAATGTAGCAATCCAGTGTAGGGCCTTATTTATGTTTCCAAACTCATAGTTTAATAAATCAACCTCATTAGGTATGGAAAATTCAGTTTTGTTATGGGGTATATCGTTATTGACTTAGTTTGTTTTGACTAGGGTGTTTAGAGGACGTGGTTTTTGAATATTAAAGCTTTTCCCCATCCTGAAAACAAGTCCCTTTGACCAGTTTTAGTACGTAATAGAAGAGTCAGACTTCGCCAATCAATCAACCGTTTGAGGTTATCTTTTAACCAGAAAAATACAATTGAAAACTTCATGATTCTGACAAAAACGCATGTCTATGACCAGAGTTGTGTTTATCCAAATTTTCCCGGCCGGCAAGAGGCCCTCCAAATTTCAGTAATATTTAATTTTTAAATTACTTATCATCCTTTACTTCTACGTTTAGATTTATAACATAAGGAAGAAAATCTATTATGAAACAAAAAATAGTAAATAGTTTGATTGGTAGGAACTAATTAAAAATACATCTAAATTTATAATTTATGTGACATGAAAAAGTTGAATTTTAAAGAGTGAAACTACAAATTAATTAAGATATCTTTTAAGAATTATTTACAAATATACAACTTGTAAAAGAAATTGTATTATATTTTAATTGTTATATATATTACTCGATGAAGACTTGGTTGCGTGAGGCACGACAGGACACAAGTACTAAATAAGAAGCATTGTCAAATATTTAGGTTATGCCTATGGGCGGGGTTATTTGACTGGCTTGCCTTGAATTTTTTTTTTTTTTAATTGGAGTGTTGAAGCTCAAACAATTACTTAAATTGATTATTTCATGAAGTCATGACCCCAAGGACAATAATGGGGAAAGTGTTGAAACCATGACAGTCTCCTTCGTTCGTCCTTACAGCTAACCATGGTGGGTGGCTTGCTTTAATTTTCTGTTTTAAACTATAATATTCAATTAGCTACCATTAATAACTCCATTTCTCTCATAATCTAGACTTGAAAGATTTTGGATAACATTTTACATTATAAGAGACTAATCACTATTAATTATGATAATGTTGTAGCACAAAACCTTTGACTCTTGGGTGAAAAAATTCAATGAAAAGAACCTGGAAAGTGGAAATTATAATTGCACATCTAGATTCTTCTTAATTAAAACGATTTAATTTATAAATAAACTATACATATAAATTTAATTTAAAATTATCAACAAAGGTTTTCCATTATCAATCCTATTGGTATGATATTGTTATTTTTTTTCTTTTTCTTTTATTGATAAGGATGTCCAATTAATTTGCACGTATTCAATTAATCTTAGTTACTTGAAGTTAAGACGATAAATCTCAATGACATTTTTACTAGTAATACGAGAATCAAACTCAAAACCTCTAGAATTACACCTAAAATCCATATTTGATCACTCAATTACTATGAGTTGTTAATGGATATATGTTGCAACCACGAGCAGGAATGCCGTGTTGTTTGCATGTAAAACTTTAAAAAATGAAATGAAAAGATATGACCGAGGAGCTCCACTCAATATAATATATGCTTAATGGATCATACGATTGGTAGTCAAATATTATATATCAAATTGGTAAATATTCTACTAGTTTATGGAATTAACTCATCAATTATGTAAGCCTACTGCATCATTATATATTTTTGGCCTATTAATCACGATATCAAATCATCTTCACCTATATATCCAATCCATATTATCTCCATATTCAAAGTTCAAACGCATACCACTTGTGGAGGCTATATGTTTTACCATAAATATTAAAGCACTGGCGGCTCATTATATCTTAATCAGTGACTAAATATTTGATACTTTTTCCTCTGGTTGATAACAAAAAAATAACAGTAAAAACTCACTAAATATAAACGCTGGACGGCCTCATTATATCTTAATCATTGACTAAATATTTGTAATACTTTTTCTCAGTTAGTATACGCAAAAAATAACAGTAAACTCAATATATATATATTATTATAGATGAAATAAAATAATGGACCATAACTAATTTTTTCTTTAAATAAATCTTTATAAAATATAATAAAGTCGCAAAACATCAACTCGACAGTGTTGTCCAACCTTTTCGCTGTGTGACTTTCTAAGCAACGAACACACTATTACCTGCAAAAACATTGAAAACAACGAAGTAACATAATGCTTAGTAAGTATCCGCTCTATGCTTCTTCTCTCTCGTTGCTTAATTTCGAATTCTTTCCTTATATCACACTTCTCTATTCTTCTCTTTATTCTCTATTCTTCTCTTGTTATTCTCTATCTTCTTGTTTATCTCTGTTCTAATTTCCCACTACTCAAGATAATAGCTGGTATATGCATATATATGATGCAAATGCACAAATCATAGAATGTGCATTTTCTTTTTCTATTTTTTTTCTTATTCTGTTTTCTATTTCTTTTTCTGTATTTTTCTTTCTTTCTATTCTTTCTTGCTGATCGGACTCGGTTGAGGCATAGATTTGAACCCTGGCTATGTGAGTGATTCTCTAATTTGGGTATAATCTCTCATCCACAGCACTTCTAACGACTATAAATTTCTTTCTGAATTGAGTGAGCCGCTCACTAAGGCGGTATGCATGCGGGCTATGTCACTCACGGGTTTCTATGCAACAACCTTCTCTTCTTTTATCTTTTTACACTTCTTTAATAAATTAAAAATTAAAAGACTATTTTAATCAAATATCAACAGTAGAAGTATATCATAGATTTTGAAGTTAGTAAATAGAAACGGTTTTCATCAGAAAGCTTTATAAGATGAAGAGGTACCATGTAGCTGTCATATCACAACATCTTGTTGAACAAGAGTAACACATAAGGACAGTCAGACGTAATTGCCTGACCTGAACAAACACAAAGAAATATAAGTAGCATATTATTGCAAACTAAATCCTTTAAAAATACCCTGTCCAATCAAAATGAGGAAGTTTTGGAGTTCGACCCTGTCCTTTCTTCAAGCAATATAACCAACCTTCATTCGCTCCGTCTGATCCACCTGGAGTACCTGTCCCAAGTAGCTTTGCCTTCAAATGAACTGATTTGTGAGAGCTCCAAGAAGCTTTGAAACAATCTTGTGTACTATCAAGAATTATAATAATAACTTTATCAATACCAAAAAAAAATCCGATTACATAACTTGAAATTTCAACTAAACTATTCAAAATGCAATTCTACGGATATCTCTAATTTTAGGATTTCATTTAGAAAAATATCGCAATAAAAGGAATTACTAACCAGAACGCCGCGCCTTCACGAGCAAGCTTTAGCTCCATACACTTGGGACACCTAAAAATAATAAAAAAAATAAGTAGCAATTTTGTTCAAAATGTTAATAGTTAAAGAATTTTCAACTTGCCACATTGAAGATAAATTTCAAGTAGGTGATGAAATACATACTGTAGATGAGCAGGCTTGCCACATCGAACACATGATAAGCTATTATTCTCCACCGCATCTGAGCCACCGGCCATCGTGTCCTAGATTTCCCTTTCTGTTTAGTTTTATTCGTTTGAGAAAGAGTAAAAGTGAGAGGTTTTAGGGTTCAGAGAAGGGAAAGATGGCGGACACGGAGGTACCTAAAGCTCATTTGTTTGTTTGAGTTTTTCCGTTAATATATTTATGATATTAACTTATTAAGTCAGCATTTGCTACGTGTATACTTTTTACTGGACCACGAACTTTACTTTCCTTTTTCAATTAATGCTGGATTGCGCAGCAAGTTACAAGTGAATTACTAGGTAGAAATATATATGCCACCGGGGCACTTCGTTAACTCTCAAAGACCCGCCGCCCAAGAGGTAGTTCAAGGGGGAGGGGCCAGCCCCTCGAGATAAGCGGATTTGAGCAGAACTTATTGGGCGAACGACTTATTGATACCCAAGGTTTGTCGAAACGACAAGTTGGTTACTAAAAGGTTTTGATACGACAAACAGGTACCTTCCGTCATGTTCTGTTAGTGATTTTCATTTGATAATAGTGAAAAGACTAAAATGCCCTTAAAAGTTTAATATTTTAGTTTTTTATAAATTTAAAAATTTCTAAAAAACCCCCAGGTTTGCTAATTTGACTAAATACTCCAATATATAAAAAGTTTATAAAATAGCAAATACACCCCCGCCACCCACAGTGCCAGATTCCGGCCACCGCCGCCGGAACCTGGCCGGAAAATTGCGTTACGACACAGACCCATCGGATCTGTGTCGTAACGCGTAGATCTTTCATTTTCCGGCAAGATCCGTGGCTGATCTGGCCGGAAAAGGCCAGATCTACGGCCGTCGAGACCGGGAACTTGCCGGAAAATTGTGTTACGACACAGACCCATCGGATCTGTGTCGTAACACCTCGATCTGGCATTTTCCGGCCAGATCCGTGGAGGATCTGGCCGGAAAAGGCCAGATCTGGCCGTCGAGGCCAAAAAAGGCCAGACGTAGATCTGGCCTTTTCCGGCCAGATCCGTGGCGGATCTGGCCGGAAAAGGCCAGATCGGTGTGTTACGACACAGATCCGACGGTTCTGTGTCGTAACACAATATTCCGGCCAGATTCCGGCGGTGGTGGCCGGAATCTGGCACTGTGGGTGGCGGGGTGTTTTTGTTATTTTATAAAATTTTTATATATTGGGTCATTTAGTCAAATTAGCAAACTTAGGGGGTTTTTAGAAATTTTTAAATTTATAAAAAACTAAAAATTAAACTTTCAAGGGCATTTTAGTCTTTTCACTATTATCAAACGAAAATCACTAACAGAACATGACGGAAGGTACCCATTTGTCGTTTCAAAACCTTTTGGGTACCAACTTGTCGTTTCGACAAATATTGGGTATGTATAAGTCGTTCTCCCGAACTTCTTAAAGTTAATTCGAAGAATTAAAGAGTTTAATTATATATATCACGACAGTCAACTAAATAATATAGGATAAATACAATTTTTAAGGAATTCCGTAAAAAAATCTTCTGCTTGTATTAAACTAAACTGCAAAGTTTTATTCTTATTTTTAATCATAATGCAATTAAACCATTCCATTACCATCAGATAATTAACTAGAAAACTTATGGATTTAGTGGCAACTCAGAAAATAGAACCATTATTACATAACATATATATGTAGTATGATACAAAGTCGTGCTGAAGAAGCCCTTTTTATATTTCAGGCCAAAACGGCACACCTGTGGCAGGGATCCATGAGTACCCCTGAATGAACCTTCTCACCGAAAAAGGGCTAGCCTGCTGGGGACTATTAAGAACATGAAAACCGGGCCAATTCACCCTATTTTCAGTAAAGGCACCAACCCCTGTATTTAAATACTCTGCATAATACAGTGTGGAAAGAGCAAAACTCCGATCCCATTCTGTCCAACCCTTTGGATGAATAATACCACCAAGGTCCGTCTTTATGAAAGTTGTCCTGGAGTATTTTTTCCATGGCCTGCCTAAGTAATTCGTGAACAAATGTTGGACGGCAATAAATTCATGAGATGGCCTAACACGCGATCCTTGAATTGAAATTCCTGTGTTTTCATTGGGATCGTCTCTTCCTTGTACTGTTATCATAGTTGCTTGGTGATCAATTGGTCTTCTTATAAAGATGTCGCAGTTTTGAAACACTGCTATGGCATCACCAAATATGAAATCAATGGTGCCATGTATTTGACAATCACGATACATTTGTCTTAAAGAGAGCACATAGAGTGTATCTTGGTGACCTATAAAATTGCAACGATAAAAAACTGAGAGGTCTGAGCTGACTCGTAAAGCCACTGCTTGGTGTTTATGGGGACCAGCCGTGTTCTGAAATGTCATGTCCCTTGCCCAAAACCCATCCCCTGATACACCTGCCCATGACCACGACCCAATTAATAAAATCGAACTGCATAAACTTGAATGGATTTTCGCTAAGTCAATGTATTCTTACCAAATGTGGCTGAGGTTGAGGTGGTAGAACCATCTGGGACATTTCGGCTGCCAGTAACAATGGTTCTACCAATGCCATCGCCAACAAACATTATGTTCTTCATGTGATGTTTGATATCCACCTTTTCATTATGCACTCCGGATTTTACGTGGATTATTACTCTTTGGGGTCGCCTATTACCCATTCTGCCGAGTGCAGCCAATGCTTCATTAATTGTTCTGTGTGTGCCAGAGCCATCTTGTGCAACAACAAAGTCTGCCTTGGAAGTTGCTGGACTCCATGATGCTAAAATTCCACCATTTTGATTGAATCTTGCATTACCTGGGGCTGGTGGTCCTAAAAAATCAGCAAGTCAATAAGAAATTAAAGCTTTTGCTTTATAGTCTACTTAATAGTTTCATGGGTGCGTTTGATTCATTATTTTGGATAAAATTTTGAAAATAATATTGAGTAGTTGAATAGGGGAGTATTACGAAGTAAAATTTAAAAATTTATAAAAAAACCCTTAGGTTTACTAATTTAATTAAACACCCTAACATATAAAATGACAAAAACACCCCCACCACCTGCAGTGCCAGACTCCGGCCACCACTGACGGCCAAATCGTGAACTATCGGTCAATGCCGTCGTGGTGTAGGTCGTTGTACAGATTCTAGCTGCCACGGACGGTGGTTATCAGAACCTGGCAAGTATGGGTTGATGGGGGTGTTTTTGTTAATTTTTAAACTTTTTTTGGGGTGTATTTATGAAATTAATAAGATTAAGGGGTCTAAAAATAATTAAAAATATATAGTAATATTTTTAGAATAATGTGCCCAGCAATATTTGGAGAATAGGATTAGGAATATATATTAACCAACGCACCCATATTATTTACTTGTACCAGAATAGAATAGTTCAGGAGACAATTTAATTTTAACTTGAAAATGTTGACCATTTTCACTCCATACTTAAGTTTAACTGGAGTCTAAAACACATAGAAATATTTACATAGAAGGAAATCAGAGCTTAAAATTTTTGTAGGCAAATAATTGTTGGGACCAAGTGAGCTTCTTGCCCCTTCTAACCTTCTTCCTATACAGTTGCAAGGCTTCACTGAGAAACATAGTCAAATTATGAGTCTCTGCATGGGATTGAACATATCCCCTCTCTTCCAATCCATCCAAGCAAGTTCTGTGGTGCGCCAGCGCGCTGCTTAGCCACGTACGAACATCATCAAGTGTGTGGTTCTTACCCGCAAGCAAACGACCGAGCCTGGACTCACACTCACCATAGAGCTTAGCACAATCAGTTAAAGCCTCGTTATGAGAATTCAAATCTTGGTCCAACTCTAATCCATTTGGTGTAACAGAAGCCCGAGCCCAGTTCCTCGCTTGCAAGACCGTGGATCGGGCCATTTGAACCACCTCCAATTCTTGAGTGCAAGAGGTGGTAGTAGCCATGGCTACAAGGAAGAGAAAGGTAACAACAGAAGTAGACATTTTCGTGTAAAGAGTGACGATGACATGCAACAAGTTATCTCATTTAACAGTTTGTTTTCATTTATAGAACTGGGTGAAGAAGCAAACACAATTACACATGGACCGTCGTAGCCATGCGTCTGCTTTTGGAGGATCAAGTGTCACTTCTTCGTTTTCGTGGGTATCATAAACGTAATTGAATTGTTAAATTTTTATAATTTGGATTAAGTGTTCTTTAGGCCTTTTATTGTAAAGATCGAGTGATGATATCAAGCATTAACTTATCTCATTAAATTGTTTGTTTTCTATTAAATGTGAAGCCTTATGCGACACTGTTTTGACTTAAGCCGAGACTTCATCCTGATCATTGGTTTGAAAATAGATCTGATGGCTGAGGACTTAAGTTGAGTCAAACCTATAAAAGCAGATGGCCCTTCAGTTTCGAAGCAACGCGATTTTCCTCTCTATCTCTCTAAGTTAGAAGATTAGAGTTTTCTGTGAGTGTAAATCTACGGATAATATGTCTATTAAGTTGTGTTTCTTAGTGTGGTGGGAACCTGGTGTAAAGTTCTTAGTTCAGATTGTAGGTTTATCTTTGTTATTCTAAAGCCTAGTTGATCTTGGTTGAAATCTTGTAAAGGGAAGAGAGTTTGAGGGTTGTAACCGTTCTTGATCATAATAGTAAGTGCAGTGAGCATCCATATTTTAGAGCTCAACGTGGCCGTAACTTGTTCAATATTGAACAAGTGAACCACGGTAAATACTGTGTGTTGAATCTGTTTGGTTTACGTTGATTGTGTGTTTATTGGTTGATGTTTGCTTGATTTGAGTAGAGTGTATTTACAACATTTTCATTTATGGAACGAGGTGAAGAAGCAAACACGATAACACATGGACCGTAAATCCGTAATAGCCAAATGTCTGCTTTTGGACCATCACTTAAGCTTTCATGGGTGTCCATCACAAACGTAATTGAATCGTTAATTAATTAACGTAATACTGTATGTAATGAACACCAAAAAAAAAGAAAATATTATAACCTCAAAATTAAACGTGCTTATAGGTTGCAGCAGGCGGTGAGGGAAGCATTTATTGATATGAACCCAAAGGCTAAAGCTGTTTATGAAGAACATGTCAAAATTAGAGTTTAGGCACGAGTGATTTGGCATTCTGGATGAGCGACATGTTGGCTACTGTTGGTAACGCTCATCTTGAAGTTTGAATTTTGTCCATACAAATACAAGATATGTTGAACTTGAACGCATAGGCAAAATACTTTCCTTTTCCGTTTTTCAAAGGTCAAAGAACAGGACTTGTTTTTCCAATTTTCTCAATAGACTTTTTCTGAAAGAGACCCTGTAGAATTCTCATTTAATTGGGTATTGTTTTTCTTACCAAATTATGAACGACGAATTGTCACATGCACGATAGAGATTGAGAGTTCACTTTCAGTGTGACTTTCATGGTAGCTAAATTTGGCTTTCTTAAATTATGATTAGCGATAAATCTGAAAAGATTATGTCAAGACTGATTCTATAATTATTTTTCAGGTTCTGAAGATGCGTGTACATGAATATTCACTTTACAGTTCACACATACGTGAAGGAATAAACTTCATCTGAAGATAGCCAACTGGGGGATATCATGATTTTTGATGAGTCAAAAATCAACCAATTCAATGTTGGTGATCTACTACGAACTATCCCTGATTTTGCCCTGGGCTGCTACGTCTTTTGACTTATCAAGACAGAAGTTAGCTCTAGTATTTTCGTCTACAAAGAAAGTCAAATCAAAACTAAATTTGATCATGATAATGATGTTATTATGGTTGTGATTTTGTGGATTATTATATTGATCACCAAATTTTAAATCACTTTTAATCCAAACGAAACCTAATTTAGTACTTTCAAAGTAATGACGGCTACCCAATCTATACCAAACTTGTACTAAACTCGAGCACGAAATCTTGTTTTGTTCCTTTTTGGGCAAATCTTAATAGACGTGCACACGTATTCGTGTATATCCATCGATCATCACCGTCCAATTCACTACTTAAATTCGTATAGACACAAATAATTGTTAATATAGTATTTATATAATTATGTATTTTATTGAATATAATATATACGTGAAAATTAAAGTGTTTGAACTAATTTATGCATATCATATTAATCCTCCTATCAATGTAGCAATCCAGTGTAGGGCCTTATTTATGTTTCCAAACTCATAGTTTAATAAATCAAACTCATTAGGTATGGAAAATTCAGGTTTAGTTATGGGGTATATATCGTTATTGACTTAGTTTGTTTTGACTAGGGTGTTTAATCGAGGACGTGGTTTTTGAATATTAAAGCTCTTTCCCCATAACTGTAAAACTAAGTCCCTTTGACCAAGTTTTGAGTACAGTAATGAGAAGAGTCAGACTTCGCCAATCAAATTCAACCATTTGAGGTTATCTTTCTAACCAGAAAAATACATATTGAAAACTTCATGATTCATGACAAAAACTGCATGTCTATGACCAGAGTTGTGTTATCCAAATTTTGTCCCGGCCGGCAAAGATGGCCCTCCAAATTTCAGATAATATTTAATTTATTAAATTACTTATCATCCTTTACTTCTACGTTTAGATTTATAACATAAGGGAAGAAAATCTATTATGAAACAAAAAATAGTAAATAGTTTGATTGGTATGGAACTAATTAAAAATACATGTACGGCTAAATTTATAAATTGATGTGACATGAAATAATTGAAATTTTAAAGAGTGAAACTACAAAATTAATTAAGATATCTAATTTAAGAATTATATTACATTAATATACATAAACTTGTAAAAGGAAATTGTATTTATAGTATTAATTAGTTATATATATTACTCGATGAAGACTTGGTTGCGTGAGGCACGACATGACACAAGTACTAAATAAAGAAGCATTGTCAAATTATTTAACGGACAGGTATGCCTATTGGGCGGGGTTATTTGACTGGCTTGCCTTTGAATTTTTTTTTTTTTAATTGGAGTGTCTGAAGACTCAGAACCAACTTACGTATAATTCGATTAATTCTCATGAAAACCGTCATGACTCCCAAGGACAATAATGGGTGAAAGTGTTGAAACCATGCACAATCTCCTTCGTTCGTCCTTACTGCTAACCCATGGGTGGGTGGCTTGCTTTAATTTTCTGTGTTTAAACTATAATATTCAATTAGCTACCATTAATTAACTCCATTTCTCTTCATAATCTAGACTTGAAATATGATTTTGGATAACATTTTACATTTATAAGAGACTAATCACATTATTAATTATGATAATGTGTTGCACAAAACCTTTGACTCTTGGGTGAGAAAATTCAATGAAAAGAACCTGGAAAGTGGAAATTATAATTGCACATTCTAGATTCTTCTTAATTAAAACGATTTAATTTATAAATAAACTATACATATAAAATTTTAATTTTAAAATTATCAACAAAAGAGTTTCCCATTATCAATCCTATTCGGATAATGGATATATGTTATTTTTTTTCCTTTTCTTTTATTGATCAAGGGTGTCCAAGTTAATTTGCACGTATTTCAATTAATCTATCGTTAACTTGAAGTTAACGATCGAATAAATCTCAAATGACTGTTCTTACTAGTAATTAAAGAGAATCAAACTCAAAACCTCTAAATAATACACCTAAAAATCCATATTTGATCACTCAATTACTCATGAGTTGTTAATAATGGATATATGTTGCAACCACGAGCAGGAATGCCGTGTTTGTTTGCATGTATAAACTTTAAAAAATGAAAATGAAAAGATATGACCGAGGAGCTTCCATTCAATAATAATATATGCTTTAATGGATCATACGATTGGTAGTCAAATATTTATATATAGCAAATTGGTATAATATTCTACTAGTTTATGGTAATTAACTCATCAATTATGTAAGCCTACTTGCATCATTAATATATATTTTGGCCTATTAATCACGATATCAGATCAATTCTTCACCCTATATATCCAAATCCAATATTATCTCCATATTCAAAGTTCAAACGCATACCAACTTGTGGAGGCTATATGTTTACCATAAATATAAAGCACTGGACGGCCTCATTATATTATCTCCATATTCAAAGTTCAAACGCATACCAACTTGTGGAGGCTATATGTTTACCATAAATATAAAGCACTGGACGGCCTCATTATATCTTAATCATTGACTAAATATTTGTAATACTTTTTCTCTGGTTAGTATACCAAAAAAATAACAGTAAAACTCAATATATATATATATATATATATAGATGAAGATAAAATAATGGATCCATAACTAATTTTTCTTTAAATATAAATCTTTATAAAATATAATAAAGTCGCAAAACATCAACTCGACAGTGTTGTCCAACCTTTTCGCTGTGTGACTTTCTAAGCAACCGCATCTCACCTATTACCTGCAAAAACATTGAAAACAACGAAGTAAACACTAATTGCTTAGTAAGTAAATCCGCTATGCTATGCTTCTCTCTCTGTTGCTTAATTTCAGAATTTCTTTCCTTATATCACACTTCTCTATTCTTCTCTGTTATTTCTCTATTCATTCTCTGTTATTTCTCTATTCATTCTCTGTTTATCTCTGTTCTAATTTCCCACTACTCAAGATAATGAGCATGGTATTATGCATATATATGATGCAAATGCACAAATGCATAGAATGTGCATTTTCTTTTCTATTTTTTTCTTATTATGTTTTCTATTTCTTTTTCTGTATTTCTTTCTTTCTATTCTTTCTTGCTGATCGGACTCGGTTGAGGCATAGATTTGGAACCCTGGCTATGTGAGTGTATTCTCTAATTCTGGGTATAATCCTCATCCACATGCACTTCTAACAGACTATAAAATTCTTCTTTCTGAATTATGAGGCCGCTCACTAAAGGCGGTATGCATGCGGGGCTATGTCACTCACGGGTTCTCTATTGCAACAACCTTCTCTTCTTTTATCTTTTTACACTTCTTTAAATAAAATTCAGATTTGAATTTCTTTAATATTCTCATTTTTTTTATATTTACTCTTTAACATGGTATAAAGACATAAGTAAAATTACGTACCTCGAGGTGGACGTTATATATTATAGTTAGAACTTAATTAAGAAGGTAATTAAGTTGATTATATCTTTTATTCGTTGACTTTCTATCTCGAACTACTGAGACTTTTTGTTCATATAAAAAGAAAAAAAAAAAAAAAGAATTGAATGAGTTTAAGGTTAAATGCCTTAAACCCATTTGGTATCAATTAGCATTCAAGAATAAATGGGCGCAGCCCGGGCCCCCAAAAAATCAGGTTGCCAGCTACCATGTATGATGGATTTCATGCAAATTAATGTTGCATGAATATGAACATGTCAATAACACGCTTCCTTCCTCCCCGGTCGGTTACAGCGTGCTTCATCCCCTCAAGTCAGCACACACAGAAAAGTCCATTATTATTACTCTTCAAAAGAAATTTGGAATATGGTTTACCAAATAATTATTCGTAACAGATTAAAACAACAAATAGAGAATGATTTACTGCGTAAAATAATATTTTTTTTTCCCTTAACAAGCCCCATGATTCATTCCCTCTTACCTACGTTTCTTTTCTATATAAAGCAACGCGGTTAGCACTCATTTCCTGCACAAACCTCATAAAACACCGAGCTCTCTATCACTATCTATTACACACATTAGCCTTAACACACAACATCAAAACTAAGTCATTCATGGCTCCTCCAACTCTTATAACGCTTTCAACTGTGCTCCTTTTTCTGTCCCCGACCATTTTTGCTTACAGTGCAAATGACGTAAAATCATGGTGCAGCAAAACACCAAACCCTCAGCCATGTGAGTACTTTTTGTCTCATAACCCTGATCACAGTCCTATCCATAATGAGTCCGATTTTTTCAAAATTTCCATGAAACTTGCTTTAGAACGCGCCAAGAATGCTGAATCACACACGTACAATCTCGGCCCTAAGTGCCGAAACAAGCTTGAAAAGGTTGCGTGGGACGACTGTCTTAAGTTGTACGAGTTAACAACCCTCAAGCTCAACAAAACCATAGACCCAAGCACCAAGTGCACCCAAGATGATCAACAAACATGGCTCAGCACGGCTCTAACCAACTTAGAGACATGCCGAGCCGGTTTCATTGAACTTGGGGTGGCCGATTATCTTTTACCCTTGATGTCAAATAATGTGTCAAAGTTAATTAGTAACACCTTGTTTCTCAACAAAGTTCCATACAGTAAGCCTAGCTACAAAAATGGGTTCCCAAAATGGGTAAAGCCCGGTGACAGGAAGCTATTGCAGACTACATCACCGGCTTCTCAGGCAAATATCGTGGTGGCCAACGATGGTTCTGGGAACTATAAAACGATAAATGAGGCCATAACCGCAGCTTCATCCCGTTCAGGTAGTGGGAGATATGTGATTTACATAAAGGCAGGAACATATAATGAGAATATAGAGGTTGGAAGCATATTGACAAATATTATGTTCGTGGGAGATGGCATTGGCAAAACTATCATTACCGGGAGCAAAAGTGTTGGAGGAGGAACTTCGACCTTCAATTCAGCAACTGTTGGTGAGTCATCAACTTCTATCTGCTAAATATATAAGGTTAACTTTATGTGTCCACTTAAAAGTATGTCACCACACAGATAAAATAAACTCAAGCTCAAAATTACTCGACCAACGCATCATTGTGAAAATTCAATGAATACTTGTCAAATGAGTTTTCTGACTGATTCTGAGGTCGATCAAATTAATTATTTTTGTGAATTTCCATGTCGAGTTGATATTGGTAATTTGGTATATCGTAATATAAATAAGGAATTAAAATTTAATTTAATTGTACTAATAAATCTGACATAAGCCGTTACGTTCATATATTAAGTTAATCCATAGTGATATATATATAGTATGAATGCTGAAAATATTTTGAAAATATGTATACCTTTTTTTTGTGGAAATCAATCTTCATATTAGTAATATTTTTAAGTGACCGGGTAACAGTACTAGTATAGAAAGAGAAGAATATAGAGTATAGACCATAGATTTGAGGACTTTAATAAGGAAGACGTGTTGATTTAGTTTTGCATGTTAATTAAAAACTTAATATATATATATCAAATTCTATATAGACATAGATTTCGATGGTCCGGTTCTCGAACAATTGTGGTGCCTGATATAATTGCTTTGACAACAAGAACGAACAATAATTACTCAGTTGCGACAAGTCTTATGTATGTATGGAAAGGTTGTGGCCATTAAAGAAGTCTCATACTCTGATTTCACTTTTTGAAACTAATTTAATGTGTAACAGAGATTGATATAATATAATATATGCTCCTGCTTATAATCAAATCATTAATTTCTATTGCTAGAAATCTAGAGTTTTCCAAAAGTCATAAACGGTAAAGTTGGTGAAGTCTGGATTTTGATAGGGATGCTAATAGGGATTATTGTATTTGATTATAGAAATAATTTAAATTAATACATAGATGTCTAGAGAACTTGAAACATTCAAGATAAAAATGAAATGTAATTTAATGCTCAATTGGGAGGTCACAGTTGGGTTAGGTGTCTAGAGAGCTTTGAAACATTCAAGATAAAAATGAAATGTAATTTAATGCTCAATTGGGAGGTCAAAGTTGGGTTAATTAATTCCTACAGATGAACTTTACATCAGATTGAATATTAATCGCTTTCTTTTTCTTTTCTTGTGTGACATTTCAGCTGTAGTAGGAGACGGGTTCATTGGTAGAGACATAACATTCCGCAACACTGCTGGTCCACAAAATCACCAAGCGGTTGCTTTACGTTCTGGTTCAGATCTGTCTGTGTTCTACAGGTGCAGTTTTGTAGGATATCAAGACACTCTCTACGTTCATTCAGAGAGACAATTCTACAGAGATTGTGACATTTATGGAACTGTTGATTTTATCTTTGGGAATGCTGCCGTTGTCTTCCAAAACTGCAACATTTATCCTCGTAATCCTCCCAACAAAACCAACACTATTACAGCCCAAGGGAGGACTGATCCTAACCAAAACACTGGAATCATTATACAAAACAGCGTCGTTACCCCTGCTTCTGATTTGAAGCCAGTGGAAAGCTCCGTTAAAACATATCTTGGAAGGCCATGGAAAGAATATTCGAGAACTGTTTTCATGACAACAAATCTCGGTAGCTTAATTAACCCAGCTGGGTGGATGGAGTGGGATGGTAACTTTGCTCTCAGCACTTTGTATTATGCAGAGTACCGGAACACCGGCTCTGGTTCATCCACTGCAAATAGGGTCAAGTGGGCTGGCTATCATGTCCTTACTAGCGCCTCCCAAGTTAACCAGTTCACCGTCGGGAATTTTCTTGCCGGAAATTCTTGGTTGCCGGCCACCAGCGTGCCTTTCACTTCCGCTCTCTGATTTGATTTCCTTGTTGAACAGTTAAAATTACTTGTTTAATTAGTTAAAAAAGATTAATAAGGTAGTCAACAACTAGTCAACTACCATCGAAATTGGAATTGTAATGCTTCTCTTCATTGGTTTGTCAAATTCTTTGTGGAATTAATGAAATATTCAATACTAAATGCTATTGTTTTCTTCTCTTTATTGATGCACCAATGGTTTTCTTGCTAAGTACATCTTTGACTTGAAAAAAAGTTCGCCTTGCTCGTCTCTATCTTGTTTACTCGAATCTAATCTAATTAATTACGATTATGTTCTCATGAAGGAAAAACTTATTCTCAATAAGACAATAATCTAAACCTTAAACCACCATTAAGTGACTCAATAATCAACTAGAATTTTTAAATATATTATTTTAGAGATATTGAGTTCGATCTATCTAAATTGTTAATAACTAATAAGGATGATCACTAAGAGGATTTATTGTGCTGTCAACTTTAGGACCTTAAGAAATTAGTTGAAGTATACGCCAACTAGCTCGGACACCCGGTCACTGAAAAAAATAATAATAATAATAATCCAAACTCTCCTACTAAAGACACTTGAGCAATTCGTTTGGATTGGTTCCTGCCAATATAGACATCCTATATTGTGTTAAGTGCACCAATGTATTACTAGACAAATCAATTGGGTCCGCAGCTGACAGTTGTATCTATTACGGCTTTTCCTCATAAATTGGGGCCCATAAGAAAGCCCATGTTTAGAAGATTACCAATGGGATATAAATTAGAGGCGGCTTGATAGGTTGGGTTCAGACGACCCAAATAATACGATATTCCTTTACCAACTAGGAATAAGATTCTGTTTCGGATTTGTATTAACACTATTTAAAACCGAAATAGTTTTCAATAGAGAGCAGGGAAGCAATGGCTCGCCGGAGGAAGATTAAAGTTGAAGGCAAATTGTTTTTGCTTTATGTTTCCACGTCTGCTGAAGTAGAAACCAATCCATGTCACTGGTGCGTCATCGACAACCCACCAAAGTGGAAGTACAAGAAGAGGAAAAGAGAAGAAAAAGAGGAAACTTGGGAGAGTAATTTCCGTAAAAAGAATACAATGAGGTTGTTATAGTTTCCTCCACTCGCCAACCGTGAAGAAGAAATCATCTTTAGTAGCGCAACTGTATTTAATTCGCGTATGTCTTTTGGTGGCCTAAAGAATTGTCTTAAAATTGCACCTTTCGAAATTGATCTTAACAAAGTTCCTTACATCAATAAACTATGCCCGGAGTTAGGTTGGAAGAGACGTTCTTCCATGAAGGCACCAAGACGTAAGTCCAAGACGTAAGTCTTGTGAAGTAGCTGTATGAGATTCACCAAAATGGGCCTAAAATTAGTTATTAGTTAACACAACAGAGAATAACTTAATTTGAAATACGATACTCTAGGGATAGTCTATTAATCCAACATTATGCAGCTATTTAAAAGAGGCTTAGGGTTCATTGTACATAATGGATAACAGAAGAAGAATAGTAATTAAAAAAAAAAAAAAACCTAACCACCAAAAACACATCCAAGAATATTGGCAACTTGTTTTGCCATTCTTCTTAGTGTTTAATCTTCATATTCTCTACCATCCCAAATAAGAAATTGTTCTTGATTCCATTGTAGTGGGATAATCCCCATCAACGTGTGATCCTATGTGTGTTGATCTAGAAGTACCACACTTGGGATACTTAAAGAGTATTCTATATGTATTGATCTAAAGGTATTACACTTGAGATACTTGGAGAGTATATGACGAGGAGAATAATACAACAAAGGAGTCGATAATATTTAACTTACTCATTAATTCTTTATTTTAGATTCTTTATATTGATATATGATATGCTTATTTATTTATGATGCATATATACATGTACATGTGTTATTTACATTAAAACGTCATTATCACGATCATAATGACATCATGGGAAGGAAGTTTTAAAATCTAGGCAACCAGATGGCAGATGCTTCTGCTAGACATTCCTAACCACAACAGTGGTATCAGAGTCAGGTTGTGGCATTTCAATGAAAATAAAGGCTTTATGATGTTTTGAGATCCTTTGTAACTATGTTATATTTTTTGGTTAATTCATGTCCTTAATTATAATATTTTTTGCTAAAATTTTCCTGAATAGAGTTAAAATGTTGATGAATGATTCTGGAAATTTGTAGCTCAATCCAATATCGGGAAGGTCGATTTTTGGCCAAAACATGCAACCATTAAAAATAGTTTATTCACTGGTGAGAGGCACTAGCTATAACCAAGGATTTCGTCAAGATTGGATTATAGATGGATCAAGTTACAGATGATAATGCGATTGTCAATAAAATTTTAATTTATTAGATCAGTTAATTTTATTATTTGTAAATAATTTATTTATAACTGTAATTAATGAGTATAAAATTCGGCCACGATAGACTAGATAGTTTACCAATAAACACTTTATAGCCCTCATTGTGATCTCACTATTATATTTGGATCAATTGAATTATATTTTATCAAATTATACTTTTAAATTATTAATAATTTGATATATAACATGGATTCTTACCTTACACATCATGAATTATATATTTACCAATAAACACTTTATAGCCCTCATTGTGATCTCACTATTATATTTGGATCAATTGAATTATATTTTATCAAATTATACTATTAAATTATTTTAATTTACTATATAACATGGATTCTTACCTTACAACATCATGGTATTAAATTTAGAAAGAATAATTTGATATATTTTTTGTATATCTTAAAAACATAAAAGTTTATATTGATATTTTAAGTATACTTGTAAATAATTTTTCAGGGCCATGGAGGTCAAGCGACCCACCCACCACCCCCCCCACCAACACCTTCCCCTCCCCCCCCCCCCCCCCCCCCCCCCCCCCCCCCCCCCCCCCCCCCCCCCCCTCCCGCCTCCCGACCTCTTATAGCTCCGTCTATGCTACACCCCCCATCGTGCCTCGCGCGTGCATATAGTATACGTGCCTATTGCTTGGATATGGCCGTGTTTCATATGTTTAGGGGATGTTTGACAAAAATTGAAAATTTTTAGTTTTTATGAAAATTTCCAAACTTGAAAATTTTAAGTATAAATTTTATAAAAATTACAAGGGGTCAAAAAGAGAACATTAAAGGATCATAATTTGATTTTTAATTCTAAATAGCTAAAGTTAATATATTAATTTTATGAAAATTAGATTGTGCATGAAATAGGATTCTATTTATTTTTTATGATAGAACACAATCCCTAATTAATCAGGATTAGATGAGTTTGAAGAATTCTAGATTATCAAATTCAAATCTTAACTTTTAAGTTAGATTATAATCTTTATTGATAAGTGATATTCTAATAACTTAGACTTCATTAAATGGCTTCGAAGCTAAGCTTAAACTTGATCCACATGAATCCACTCTGCTTCCTGACCCGATATTTTCAAGTCGGTCTCTTTGTACATGTCAATTGTGTACTGGCCATCTCGACGTTAGGATAAAATCATAAGCCTGAAGATGCATAGCTTGAGCAAAATCAAGCCATTCACCGGTAAATATGGGCCTTGGATGGCCGATATTCCTAGTGGAGAAACGAATTGCCAAGTTTTGTCGGTCCAGTCCGTAACTCCCAAATCATCCCCTTCAAACATGCGAATAGCCGGCAGAGCTCTGGTTGGTATCGCCATCCTCGCATTACAGTGACTCTCAGACAAAAATTTGAGAAGACCTTGATAGCCAACTAGTACTAAGTACTAAGAGTATTGTATGCATATGTGAGTTATAAGACGAGCTCGTGGGCTTGTAAATTTATGAGAAAGGTGTGCGTGTGAGAGGGTTTGGGGGCGTGGCCAAGGTTATAATCCGTGTGTTCACAACTCACCCATTACAAAACTAAAACCAACATGATCCAATCAATCCTGACAAAGCTTTGGTTGGATTGCCATCCTATAACACAGTGCCGTCAGACAAAGATTTTGAGAAGATCTTCATAGTCAACTAGTTCTAACAAGAGATATTGTATGCATATGTGAGTTATAAGAAAAGAGCTCGTTGGCTTTATAAGAAAAGTGTGCATGGAATTAATAGATGCGAAGGGAGCCTTCCCATGTCCCATTTTAAAGTGGGCCACGGTGTTTACCATTTACGTCCAAAATCTTTGGAATATGCAACAATATGAACTCAGAAGAAAGTTAAAATGGTTTTTTTTTGTTTTTGGTAACTTACATCAATGTTCTGAAACCGAAGAGATTTGACCCGTCAAGGCCCGATTCATAGTTTGACCAGTCAAACTGACTATTCGACCGACCACGTCAGTTTTCCAAAAAAATTTGAACTTTACAAATTGGTCTTTAAATTCTAATATATTATAAAAATGCCCTAAAAATCACAATTAGTCCCCAAAATTTAATATATTTCAAAAATCCCAAAAATTACCCCTCAAAAATTACAATTAACCCCTATATGTTTAAAATAGTAAAATACCCCCTGGAACCTCAACTGGACCAGAGAGATGCTGGTTCCTGTCTTACCGGTCGGTTTGGCCTAGTTTTTAGAACCTTGACTTATGTAACTCGTAAACCATTGAAATGTAATTGAATTTATGATATATATAGTGTCACAAATTCAAATAAAATATTTTATTTCATATAGCTTTAACCCATATAAAATGTCACAAACTATTAAGGTATATACTACATGATTAGAAATACTATTGATATTGTCAGAAGTGCTATCATTTTTGATTATAGCCTACGAATTATTTAGAATTCAGTTTATATAGATAATAAAGATTTTAATTTAGGAGCCACAGAAGGGTTAATTTAGCATTTCTTTGAGAGACTTCTCCCATAAGTTAGAAGTAATAAGAACAAAATAGCTGCAATAAAAAGAAAAAAGTCACTCTTAAATGTACCCTAAAATTTTGTTAGGATTATTTAAACTGTTTACATTTTGAATTGACAGATTTTTTTTCCCTTTCTCCGTAATAGGTGAAAAGTTTGGGTTCGATGCAAGTATCCAGTGACAAATGAAGAAGAGCAAAAATCGATTCGATTGAAATGGTTAGAGATAATGATAAGCTTTTCATAGTAGAAGATACAAACATCTAAATGCAAGCTAATGAAATTGTTTATTTATCAATCCTTAAAAGGAGTAAAAA